ACCCTGATACATCTCAATGGAGAAAGCAATATGTGATGAAATCTTCAGTTAGGACTTTACAAACCATACGAATACATGTAATGACCGGTTTTTAAAACTAAGTGAATTATTTAAAGGAATAAGTTAACAATTAATTCGTCTAAAACGATTTTAAAAGCCGTTTTGCCTCATTTCTTTAATAACTAGGAAATATAAGCCTCAAGAAAACGAGTATGAGTTATCTAAAGAACCAGTGCTTTTATTTGTCGACTGTTAATATAATTTGAACATCTGTAAGCGAGTGCTTAGTTCAATCTGAACCTGATGGCACTAATCATTACTCACTATGCGGTATATTCACATTTTCCATGCTGATTAGTTAGTCTTGAGTCATTTTATTGGTTGGAAGATTTCATCATGAACTGACATCAGTCAGAGAACCATTGGAAAGCCTGCAAGGGGTACGGGACATCTTAGTTTGGGACTCTTCATCAGTACACATCCACCGAGAAGCCGTGACCAGTAGGGTACAGCAGGTTAAAGGCGAGACAGTAACTCATTGAAGAAGACATTGCGAAGTGGTCATGTTATGTCATGAATTGGCAGAAGTTAGAATTCATGGGCTGGCCATTGGATCGAGTCCCAGTGAGTGGCTTAATAGTCTACAAGCTCACCATTGTGACCAGAAGGTCCTGCGTTTGCACTCAAGCGGTGGGTGCGTACTGATGAAGAGTCCCGGACTAGGACGAAGGAAAAATCTGTTCAGTACTCTCAGGTTTTCCAGTGCTCTAACTCATGTTCAGTCATGATGAAATCCTCTAGCTAATCAAACAAAATCCCTACAAAATTTCAATACTTGAAAATCGAGTCATTTCAGTAGATTTTATTTGGTGACGTTCACTTAAAAATCGATTTTACTAACACTCCAACAAGTTGGCTACAGCTGTCAAACCTAAATTCGATACATTTTTGTCTCTCCGTGTAAATCAGTCAAGTCAGCTGTTTACTAAATGGCATTTGTAGCTGTTTCTCTCGCATCACCACAACACTAAGTAATAATATCTAGTCTATCATATGTCCAATTAAAATTCAGTAAGGTTTATTAGTCATTATTTTCACTAGAAATCAGTGTCACAATTTTAGGATCTAAAAAAATCGATAAACCCACTGATTTTCTTGTTCTGATTTTCTGCAAAGCACAACGCATTATATTTAATTGCAGTTAAACTTTGTTTACATCACCTTTTTTACATTCTCGAAGAACATTCTGTACTCACATGCATTTTTTTGGGCATCTTTCAACATACAGCGTGTTCTGTCTTGAGGGGGAATATACTTTGAGGATTAGAGCATAATTTAGACAGGATGAAATTCGGTCAAATGATGTACTGCAGATGTAACCAGTGAAAGTTCATAAAATGGATCTATGTCAAAAATAAAAATGGACTATGCAGAAAATAGACCAATTTAGTGAAAACAGAATATCACCTTCCAATTATTCCTTTCTTATAGCAGCAATATATCATATCAAACACAAACTGTTACGGCCATTAATAAACTTGATAGTTTGCAGAAACGAATTTCCTACCTAGTCGATTTACGAATCTACTGTTCCAGTCACTATTTGGACGTAAAGTTGGAGAGAAAATACGACGGGACACTTGAAAGATCTGTACATCATAAAAAGACACATGGAGTGGTATTTACTTGAATTTCAGCAGTTTCTGCCCAGTAAGATACAAACGAACGCTGGTGAAAACACTTTTCTCTAGATTGTAGAGAATATGTTTACCAAACAAACTAGACAGTGAACTAATGATTCTTGAAAAAATGCTTGAAGGAAAATTGTTACCTACAAAGTTCCATTAACAAATATGGCAAGAATGAACTCAAGACGTTTGTTACAGCTACAGTCAGTAAGAAGTCTATTTTCATCGAATTTGACTACAAGGGCAACGACATTATGAGAATGGTAAATAAAAGATTAAGCGCAGCCCTGTCAAGGACATATCCTGCAGCATTATTAGTCTGTAAACCCCAAATAACTTTCTCATTGGTGCAGCCAAACATTGACAACTACTCCTCACATGTTACCTCCAAGTGGGTGTACCAATTCACATGTATCTACGGGAGCAGTTACACTGGAAGAACAGAGAAGAGGGCCTACATCAAATTCTGAGAAAATGTACGAAGAAACCTCGGTTAAAGGGACCAAATTGTTTAAGCTCTTCAATCGCCAAACACCTGATTGACACAGGACACCAAGTAGATGTGCTGGAATCATCCAAAATAATTAACAGACAAAGTACCTCAAGTTTTCTCAGGTTTGCTGAAGCTACAGCAATAAAACGATTGAAGCCTGACTTATGTGTGCAAAAAGAATCCGTTGTTGGACTTCAATTACCCTGGTGACTCACTTCTTAGTAACTCTTTGTTTTCTAATTTTGTTAACTTATCTTTTCGCTCCATCCCCCCTTATTTTTCGCTTGACTCCCTTAAGAGATAATTTTTCTTGGTCTTCTGAGTTCTGCATCATCAACTTCTGATTTGACTTCAGGTGCACCGAAATTTCGATCTTCTCTTATCTGATTACGTAACTATTACTAACTTTCTTTTGTTGCCACCCCAACAACACAACTGTGAATTAAGTTTTTTCAAGAAACTTCTCTCTAACAAGATATATATATATATATATATACATATACATATATATCGTAACACTTTAGAAGCCTTGTCAATCGCAACGCCTTATTTCACTATGACGCTCTGACAATATGCTTGCTAATGGACAAAAGTTTGTTAAAATTGTACACTTTTATTTTATTAAAGAATTCAGGTTGTGCACAGCTGATAAGAACCGACGAAACAAAATGGATCCAGATTATTCTGCACCAATGTTTCTTCTTTCTTTGTTCGAATTTGTAAAAGGGAATCATTGTATGAAAAACAACAAGATACAATCCCGCTGAAACCGCAACTTATGAAGACAGGACAAACCGTCGACGTGGAGAGCTTTTACTGTCTCGAATAGACAGCGAATAGAGATGACATCAGTTGCCCATATATATATATATATATATATATATATATATATATATTCGTCACCAAGGCGTAACTGCAATATTGAAGGAACTCATGTCCCTTCTGAAATTCAAACCTATGTCACCCAATGCTGCTGTCAGAGGTGTTACTATCTAATGACAAAAATTATGAATGCTCTGTGATGGCAACCCACCTAACATGTCGGCCACATTGCAAACTTGACTGATAGAATTCAGTCAAAGGACTAGACACACTAGACTAGTTACTTACTTGTGCCCAATCAAAGTTTCTGATATATCTTTACTAGTTAATCGCAAGCCCAAATAGCTCAGTGGTAACTTCTCTGACTGCAGCACTGGTTGGCAAAAGTTTGAATCTCAGAAGGGACATAAATCCCTTGAAGGTTACAGAAATGCCTGGGTGACTAGTGCCAACCTTGGTCAAATGCTTTCTTCCTATTGCCTCCAACAGTTTAGTAACAAGAGTTTTGAGAAACTATTTTCCTGCAAGCGAATAGTACTCAAGTTAACTTTCATCCGAGATAGATACATATATATCATATTGTTGCAAATTGGTTTGTTTAATGAGATAAGACTGATCAACCAATCAGAAGCAGTCCATTAAGGTGACTGAGTTATAAGAAAATGGATTAACTTATTAACTATTGATTGAAATGCCACCGTTGATTCATCTCAATGATATATTATGGTTGTTTAAAATGCTTCGGAATGAGTAAAAATTGTATTATTATTATTATTATTATTATTATAATTATTTTATTTATAACAGCAAACATGTAAGAAACGCATAAAGATATATTTATGGAAATAGGTATCATGGATATAAATGCATTATTTGTATATTTTTATATACTTCAAATTCTGTATAACTGTACAACAACTGCAGTTAGGAGAAAACAAATAAAATAATAACTGTTCTTATAATCAGCTACTCCTCCTCTGCCTTCTCAAAATTAATTCAGATTACTTTCATGCAGTTTGTTTGTTCTCTTGTAGTTCAGAGGTGGAAAAAAACGTAGGTAAACAGCAATAATAATAATAATAATAGAAATGATAATTAATAATAATAAATAACACTGGCAATCGATTCATCTGGTGATTACTACTCATACATATATGTATATGTGTGTATACAAACAGGCAGGCAGAGAGAAATTTACATGGAGGTTGCAAGGACTCGACACGAAAGTGAAACAGTTAACCAGAGAAGAACAGGAAGGATTAATGGGGAATGCACAAAACTCTTCAGATAAACATAAAGACAAGAAGCGTTCAGTGAATATAGGGGAAAAATGGAATACGATGTGATGTAAACCGAGAAGAAGAAGAAGAAGAAGAGAAAATCAGCGCATTCAGGTGTGTGTGTGTGTGTATGTCGCATAACACCCGTCCTTTTATTTATTCATTTGTTTCTTTGTTTTTGACAAATGTATCATATGTTTAAAAGTATGAGTGTATCTCATTCACTTGTCTTATTTACCTTCTGTCATGAATTATGCAATAGTAGAATACATTTATCAAATATATTTATGCATTGTGTAATAGTATAATTGGACTACATTGACACAGGCAACTAAATGTGTATAAAAGTTATGTGGCGTTATTCTGATAGAAGCCTGGTGGACAGCAGACAGAAGGAGAGAGGGCACTGCAAGATGATGATGATGGTGATGATGATAATGATAAGAAGCAGAGGACAAAACAGGAATTTTCATTTTAACTAATTTTTTCATGTTTTTTCGAAAGAAAACAGGAGAAACGAATGAAGCATGTGTCAATTTGTGTGTGTATGTGTTTGCAGGCGAGAATTCTAGTCTTTGTCACTAGCTATTATGACAGTGTTTTTCTCTTCTGTTTGCTCTTCATCTTCTTCTTTAAATGAGGAATATCTGAGTTCGAGGTGAAGCGAGAAGGCGATTGAGGGAGTTGGGCGGGGGTGGGGGTGGGAAAAGAGAGACATTACTTCGAAGAATCATCGGTTTCTTCTTTTGAGCATGTATTTACATCAGATAGACTACAAGTACTGTTGCCAGTGGTGGCATCACCATCGGATTCTATGTGACCGACACTGGTGCTGATTGTGATAGTTGTTGAAGTGGTTCCACTGGTAGTTGTTGTTGTTGTCCTAACCCCTGTATTACTATTACCAGTACCACTTGTGGATGTTGTCGAACCACTTTTGGGAGGATCTGAAGTATTCTGAGCTAGACATGTATTACTGGTTGATGTAGTAATACTATTTGAAGAAGGATAACTTGCAGTAGGAGTGACAGGTCGATGGCCTGTCGATGGATTCAGTTTACTGTCTCTCATGTGTCTTGAAGTAGATAAGCCTAATAACTGTAAATCTTGTATATTATTCATACCAGCATCAGCTTTAGCGGCTGCTGCTGCAACCCCAGGTAAACTTAAACTCGGTGTATTCTGTGTACTGAATGTACTACCGAATGTGCTTAGAAATGAGAATGGTGATGTATAAGTGGTTGAGTGAACTAAGTGAGAGACTGGTTCATCCAACTCATCAGTTGCCTCTTGCAGGGATGCTGCTAATGCTGCAGTAGCCGCTGCTTTTGCTGTCTCCCTGGCTTCTTTCAACATGGTTAAATAAACTTCCGATCGAAGGAAACGTCGATAGGAGTCTTTCTCCATCAATGCTTGTATGCGTTTTTGAGCATTCTCTAAAGTGTTAACTGTAGGATTAGAAAGGTCAGCTTCAGTTTGTAGACGTGTTTTAGAGTCTAAATTAACCTAATGATACAAAATAATAAGGCGATTAATAATGAAGATTAAAACAATAACAACAATAATGACAAAAAACAAATAAGTTAGTATATATACATATATATTTACATATATGTGTACAAGTTCATCATTCCCCACTGGTGACACTAAAGAATTTCAAATATAGATCTGTTCAAAAACCAGAATCAGTTAGGAAATCACTGAAATCTAAGTAGGAGTGGATAGTTATTTTGCCCTGATTGGAGACTATTTTTCAGTATACGCCCACGACGTCCGGATTACGAGGCTGATTTCGTTGATTACTCAGCTACTTAGGCCGGGATTCAGTGACCCGGGAAATCTAAATACTGTCAATTTTCGATACATATCTACGCCTAGCAAATACCATTGGTTAGCATCCAGTTCACCTTAGCATGATAGACCTCCCTGATCATGACCTGCCATTACAACTTAAGGTCATCCACCCCAAAGGTGTTTGTAAGGTGGAAATTCATATTCAGATAACACATTTTGTAGGGTTTAGGATTGTGTTGGTGCCTTATCGCAGGTTAACTGACACTGCAAGCTGAGTAAAATTGAACTATTTGAAAGAATTTTTGCGCGTGAATTATAAATGTCATCCTTCAAAGTCTGAGTTACGAGAGTAATTTCTCTGAATGCAAACTGTACGTCAATATATAAGTTTGAATGCTTAATTCCGAATAGTTTATTCAGCAATAGATACACTAAAATCGATTTACAAGTCAAAATTATCAGAGTAGGTCAAACAAAACAATTTTTTCTATTCATTATTCATAAGTATTTAGCTATATTACAAAAACAATATCAAGCAGAGAATTGTTAAAAATCTTGTTTTTTTTCATATCAATTCATACCCCTTCAGCGATTCGTCAAAGCAAGGATATGTAAGGCAGTGCAAATCTTCACTACTCTAAAATCGGTATGGAAATCAACTCCACTTAGTATAGGGAACAAGACAGTCAGTGCTTCTATATGGTTTAGAAACTTGGTGTTTGCGCATCATGAAAAGCATTTCCAACAGGCCGATTTAAACTGTTATCAACATTTGCCATCGCTTTCTCTAAAGTGAAGATTAAATGGTCAGAAAGGAGTAGAAACAAGGATCTCTGGCAATAAACCAAATTTTCTGAAGAGATTATCGAAAGACACAATTCACCAGGCCATGACTCGATTGAGACTCAGGTGAGAAACGGCGAGTTGGCCGCTGAGCCAAGGGTAATATGGAGGAGAGCAGTCATGCAACCAACCAAAGAGGATGATAAAGAACAGGAAGTAATGGAGGTATGCTACGGAACCCCCTTATTCTACTCAGAACCTAAAGGAAAAATAAATATATACTGCGACAGCAGTTACTTAGTTCACATTAACTTCACAACATTATGCGCTGGCTGGACGCTTAGTTTACTGCGAGGAGAAGAAAGGAAATGATCAGCCTGATGTCTGCATAATGCTTAAAATAAGAGTGGTTTTTTTTTTTGGTTTTGTTTCTGATGTTTGTCTTCTAGTCGATTGATTTTTAAAATAGATATTAGAATAGTAAAAGAAAGACTGATGCGTCTTCTCAGTATGCTGGTTTCCAACATAATAGTCATCGTCTGCTTCTGAAAGGCGGAAATAAAACAGCTATAATATTGTGAAGGACAATTCATCTCTCTTTCTCTCTCCTTCCTTGCGTTATCAATGGAACATAAAGCTTGAATCTTTGAATTTGCAGTAGTCGTGGTATTTGTTTTAACGGAGTGGTCTTTCCAGCCTCCCTGTGTTTTTCCGATTTTACTGTAGCCAAATGAATTGGGTGAAGTTTAAAAATGAGTTGTCAGGGTATCGAAACCTGATTGGGTGAATCGTCAGTACGCATTCTAATACTGAATCCTTACGAAAAACCCCAGATTTTGAAGCGTTTGTACGACTGGACTTATATATATGTAGCAATTTAAAGTAAGAATGTAAGCTTTTCCACATATGTTGAGGTGTATACTAATTCGGGGACATCACTTTATAAAAATAACTTCACTTGTAGTCATAGCAACCATAACTCGCATTTTTCGCGTCTCTGTCTATATATATATATATATATATATATATATATATATATATATATATATATATATATATATTCTGTAAATATGAGGTTGTATATGAAGACAGAAATGATTGACTGACGGCTGATACGTTAGCTGATTGGTTATTTGACAAACAGACACAAAATATTGATCATAGTCATATTTCATGGGAAAAAGAATTAATTACAATCACTTTTATTTTAAATACTTTGTTATTTTTGGGTTTGTATGTAAAACTGAACAAAAGTTGAAAAATGAACGCAGAACACAGCTTATTTCAATCGTACAGGATCTAGATCGCATAGTGATAAATTGCGTCATGAATCGCTAGCGTAAACAACTTTGCAACATGGAATGATTGTGAACCTTAAATTTCCCAGTCAATCAATTAGGATGTTTACATTCTCTAAAATGAAGTGTATTTCAGTCAGAAATTCTCGGTTTTCTCATTGAAAGTTTTTTAAAGTTCTGTGCAGGAATAGACAAGCAAAGACATTGTGAAAGCCGTAGTTGTTCTCAGTATATTAGTCAATCGAAAGCATTCCTTCAACTGTCTGACAGCGAAACTCGTACCTAGACCAATAATCCACAAAGCAGTGAGGGTTCAGTTAACACACATTAATCAAATAAACCAATTAGTCTATGAAATAGCGCTGTGTTTCCACGTCTCCATGTCTTACAGCGACTAAAAGTGCTGAGAATACAATTCATCCTGCAAGGAAGATGGAGGGTACGTGTCAATGCAGAACACTATGCACTGGCCATTAGGAAGGACAAAAACATAAGTCAAGAGTAAAGACATTGTAAAAGAAAGTCAAACTGTAGGCCTCCCTTTTTGCAAATTACCTTGTACATATAACCATAACAAATTATGCCGTCTGTTCTCTGTTGACTTAACGAGTTCCAGGAAGATCCAGAGTTTTCGATTAAATATGAATGTGTAAATAATGCATCATTTCCAGTTATTACAACACGCATTTGCGCAGGAAACAAGTAAAGAACTAAACCTTTTAATTATTTGAAGTCCAGTTTAACTGACTTATTTTGTGTAGTGTATACAGACTCAACCGAGAGGAGGAAATGTGTGTTGTTGAGGTAAATCGTATTTGAGTTCATTCTCAAAGTATAATACAAAGAGAATGTACAGAACACAATTCATTATCGTTTGAGAACTGCTCAGTTCAATGTGAAAATGTGCCACCATTCACCCTAGAAACGTAAACTGCACAGAAGATAATATGTACTAGGGCATTTTATGCGTGCTGTCAAAAAAAAATGACAATCAACACAAAGTGATTTGAAGTGATTCACTTGTATTTGAAATGAGCCAATCAAGCCATCTTCTCCTTTGAGCAAAATAGCTATCCATTGTCTAGATCACTTTAATATGATGGTTTCTCTAAGTTGACTTAGCTAATAATGCCGATCAGTCATGTCACCTTAAAATATTATGCATTCACAAACAGTCATTTTCAAATATTTCCTGATTATAAATACACAACATACATTCTGTTTCACAATTTTTATTTATTACAATGAACATTTGACATCTAATCCACGGAAATGAGCTTAGATAATGATAAATGATGTATGTGTCTGAAAACAGTCTATTAAATGAACTCCAGAAGTTGAAAATGAGCTCTCAGCTTCATACATATATCTATAAAAGAATCCTGAATTTCCCTCTCCCTATATATATATATATATATATATATATGAATTTGTCAATTTTATTGATTTCTTCCCTGGATGTGGATTTATTTACACTGGGAGAGCGAATGGATATAGACATCAGTAAAAATATTAGGGATACTATGATAAAGGGAATAATTTAAGGCAAACAATGAAACAGTTGTTTCAGAATAGTATGAATACTGGGAAGATAAAATGCATTGAAGTAGTTCATTGGGTGTAATTATCTCATAATGTTAATTAGAAAACAAATTATTTTTCCCCCAGTACACGCATTTAGTATTATTATTATCACGTTAATGGAAAAAGTAGTAATAAATTACGCTGATAAAACGATTTCACAAGTACAAAAGAATAGTGTTCTTCCCAGGAAAAGAGAATCAAGTTTAAGAAAGAAAAGCAACAAGGAATTCAACCATTATCTATGGCAGTCTTCTTTAAGATTATTCAAGGCAATTTATTCTTCAATAATTTTCAAATATGATGTTTTTTTAGCACAAGTAAATGATAGCAGTGATAAACGAATGGTGAACTGATTGGTTACCGTTGTGATGGGATAGAAGGAGTAACTGACTGTATTTTATCAGTCAGTTAATCCTGTGGTTACTATAGTAGGCAGCAAGCTATCGTAGTTACTTTTTCTTAACGGCTTGAGGATGGTTTCAGATGGCTAACAGGAACCTTTGAACCTGGGTTTCATGTTTAGTTTAGGAACTGATATCTTCTTATTGATTTCGACGTGCCTCATTCAAAACAGTCTTACAAGAGATCGATCACTACTCGATCAGTCATATGTCTGTGTATACAATGCTGGTTGACTCTGGGGTTAAAACCACAGAGGCAGAATCCGTTTTTTGAAAGCCGGAGACAGGCCAAGATGAAGAGTACCAATAAGTGTGAAATATTAGTCCATGGTTTCCTATACGTGGCCCACAATCAGTTAACAGTGAACGGCAAGTTGTTTGAACTTTATTGGCTATTAATTCATATTTTTGGTCTATAGTCGGATTAGACATTTCATTCTCTGAGATTATGTATACCTGCAAATAACTAAGCATCTAAACAGCCAATAATCTGTGTATTTGAGGTATTTAACAGGAGTGATGGTAACCCTAAGCTGATCAGGTATATGGGATCAAAAGTGTGATGTTTTCAGTTCCACAAGCATGTTTAATCAACACTATGTTAATCGTGTCCAAAACAATAAAGGTCAAAAACAAAAAAATTACG